TTCTTACTACCACTCGGTGTGAACCTAGTTGATACTAATCAGAACTCTAAGCTTTATGCCACCAGCCAGGAATCACACAATCTTATCTTTGACAGATATGAGCCATTAGAAATATCTCCCAATATGTTACTGTGCTCTAAGATTGTGCTTCCTCAGATAAATGAAGCTTAATGCGCTGGACCACAAGGTCGGGTTGAACCACAAGGTCGAAGGTTCAAACTCACCAGCCACTCCTTGGAAACCCTACACGGGGGTCACCATAAATCAAAACCAACTCCATGGCACTTAACAACAACAACAACAAATCCCCACCAAATGTGTCCATTAGGACATTTTTTTAAAAAGTCAAGAATGTGATAGATGTCAAGAATGAACATAGCACAGATGCTAATTTGTGCCAGGGTAACATAGTTCAAAGATCCAATCAAATTTAACTCTTTAGGGTTCTTTTTTTACAATACATCTTTAATTCCGCCCAGCTGAAGGAGAGCAGACTTTCCTATATGCATGGCATCTAGTTTGATGAAAGAAGACTTAAAGATAATTCTGGGCAGATGGCAATGTGGGCAGGTGGAAGATACTCTCCACACAAGCTCCCAGAAAGGATGCACTTTCTCAGTACCACCTTCTCCTCTTGCCGGTGCAGCAGGCAGCTTCTCTGGGCACTCTTGAGGAGGGCCTGATCCCTGGCTCCTGAATTGACAGGACAGAGGTGTGTATTCTGAAAGAGTTCATTATTACCTGCGCTGCCCTATGAGAACAGCTACAGGAAGGAAGTCCTTCAGATAGATGGGAAAGGAAGGACATTAGAAAGACACAGCTGAAACTCCAACAACAAATGAAGAGACTGAGTCAACAATCAAAACCTCTCAAAGAAAACCTGGGACCACGTGGCATCACTGGAGAATTGAAACACACATTTACAGACATGACCCCAATCGATCTTAAACTTCCCCAAAAGACAGAGGAGGAAGGAACACTTCCCAACTCATTCTGAGGCAAACATTACTGCAATACCAAGGCTAGACAAAGGATGGTCGAGGAAAGAGAATGCCACATGGATGTTGTTGTTAGGTGCCACTGAGCGGGCACTGGCTCAATAGCGACCCTACATACAACAGAACGAAACACTGCCCGGCCCTTTGCCGACCTCACAGTCATTGCTACACTGGAGTCCATCACTGCTGTCACTGTGCCAGTTCAAGTCACTGGGCTCTTCCTCTTTTCTTCTGACCCTCCACTTTACCAAACATGATATCCCTCTCCAAGGACTGGTCCCTACTGACAGACAATATGACCTCAGTATGAGAGATGAAGTTTGGCCATCCTGGCTTCCAAGGAGCACTCTGGCTGTACTTCTTCAAACACAGATTAGTTGGTTCTTTTGGCAGCCCATGGCATTTTTAATATTCTCCTCCAACACCATGACTCAAATGCATCAGTTCTTCTATGGTCTTCCTTATTCACTGTCCAACTTTCACATGCATGTGAAGTTACTGAAAATATCATGGCTTGGGTCACGCACATTTTGTCTTCAAACTGACATCTTTGCTCTTGAAAATTTTGAAGAGGTCTTGTGCAGCAGATTTACCTAATCCAATACATATATTGATTTCTCAACCACTGCTTCCATGAGTCTTGATTGTGGATCCAAACAAAATGAAGTCTTTGACAATTTCAATCTTTTCTCCATTTATCATGATGTTATTTATTGCTCCAGTGGTGAAGATTTTTGTTTTCTTTACACTGAGGTGCAATCTATACTGAAGGCTGTGGTCTTTGATCTTCATCAGTATTTTAAGTCCTGTTCATTTCCAGCAAGTAAGGTTGCATCAGCTGCATAGTGCAGGTTGGTAATGAGTCTTCCTCCAATCCTGATGCCAAGTTCTTCATATAATCCAGTTTTCTCGAATTACTTGCTCAGCATTTAGATTAAATAATTATGCTGAAAGACTATAACCCTGGCACACACCTTTCCTGATTTTACACCATTCAGTGTCCCCTTGTTTGAACAACTGCCTCTTGCTCTATGTACAGGTTCCTCACGAGCATTAACATTTAAGTGTTCCGGAATACACATTCTCCTCAATGTTGTCCATAGCTTGTTATGATCCACACAATCAAAAGTCTCTGCACAGCCCATAAAGCACAGGCAAGCATCTTTCTGGTAGTCTCTGCTTTTAGCTAAGGACATCAGCAGTGATAATCCTCGTCAATCTGGCTTGAACCTCTGGCAGTTAGTTCTCTATCAATGTACTGTGGCAGCCATTTTTGAATTATTTTTAGCAGAAATTTAACCTGCATGTGGTATTAATGATACTGTTAGATAATTTCCGCATTCTGTTAGGTGACCCCTCTTTGGAATGGACACAGATATGGAGCTCTTCCAATCGGTTGACCAGGTAGCTGTTTCCAAATGTCTTGGGATAGACGAGTGAGGGCCTCCTGTGCTACATCAGTTTGCTGAAAGATTTTAATTTGCATTCCATCAATTCCTGGAGCTCTGTTTGTTGTCAATACCTTCAGTGTACCCTGAACGCCTTCCTTCAGTACCATTGGATCTTCATCATATGCTACCTCTTGAAATGGTTGAATAGAGACCATTTCTTTTCAGCAAGTGACTCTGTATACCATCCAATCTTCTTTTTTTTAATGGTGAAAATTTGGGATGAAAATTTTGTTGTTGTTGTTGTTGTTAAGTGCCGTGGAGTCGGTTCCAACTCATAGCGACCCTACACAGAGTTTCCGAGGCTGTAAATCTTTACGGGAGCAGACCGCCTCATCTTTCTCCCGCAGAACTGCTGGTAGTTTCGAACTGCTGACCTTGTGGCTCGCAGCCCTATTCGTAACCACTACGCTACCAGAGCTCCTTTTTTTAATGGTGATAATTTGGTATGAAAACTTTATTGGGTCAGAATATGAAAGAAATCAAAGACTACAATGCGTGTCATAACTTAAAACGGCAATCAGGGTTCAGATAGATTGTTATATCTTCTCTTTCTTGAAGCAGTGTAACACTCTCTGTCTACCCTTACTCATGTTTCCATTCATTGCTCCCAGGTCTGAGATTTTATATCTGTTAGCATAGCTATTTCTGATTCAATAACTAGGCTTCTCTTTACCTTGACCAGTTTCATATTTACCCCATTTCACTCACTTAGCTTGACTGTCAGGTCAAGACATTTGGTAATATAATGTGACTACCTGGCAGATCTGCTTATCATCACTTCAGTTCTCTAAAGTGGGGTATCCTAGTAACTGTACACTTACTGGATCTTCCCTTAATGCCCACTTAGCAATCCTGCTCAAGCAGATGACTGGCTCTGTCAGGCGGCACACTCCAGACAGCTACAGCTCACTGGGTTTGGGCACTCCTGAAATGTCTAGTTCCAGATCTTTGGACTCCTCTTTCCAGCATGTAAAGCCATTGCTGAGTGAAAGAGCCATCACATTCCCTACGGACTCACGTCTAAGTCTCCTTTTCCTGACAGAATGACTGTTGGCACCATGATTAGCTACTAAACCCTTCACCCCCCAGTTTCTTTTGATGCTTTCTACATCATTCAGTGC